AGCATCATGGAAGCTTGATGAGAGCTGGTTCGGAGCGTCTCGGTGCTCACGTTTTAAGCCGTAGTCTTCCTAAAATTCTCTGCAGGAGAAAAACAATGGACAGTTTGCAATAATCTGCAAGGCAGATTTTCTGTAAGGTTAGTTTTTCAGCCAAAAACTCTCGTTCACAAGCTACTTTCCTCGCTCATTTTGTTTCTGCCATTCTCTTTTTTGAGATCTTGCTGTGCTCGCTTGCCTTCGCTGGAATTCGGAGAGGTAAAGGCACAATGAGGAAGAAAAGCAGTCTGTGAGCGAGAGTTTTTGTTGGAAATTAAACCTTACAGGAAAGCCGCCTTGCAGATCACTGTAAACGGACAGACTGCATGTCCATTCAGTCCAGGGCAGTCCAAAGAAATTGTCGTCTTCATCTCCGTCCCCCAAATGGTGGGGGTAGTGGTTAGAAGATGGCGCCTAATTTCTGCAGTCCAGCAGGGAGCACGGCGCAGCGAATAAGGATAAAAAAAAACGAGAGGGAGAAAGAGAAAGTCAAACACTGCCTTCTTTTCTACCCAGGAAATAGAAAGGATGCACGCTCGGTTCGTCACACGGCGAGAGAGAAACACAGCGTAGGTCATAATGCAATAATACGCACAACACAGCACAGTGCAATAACGTTGCATCGCACGTGCAGAATAGGGTCTGCAGTGCTAGGCAGGCTAGGGCCTGGGGGAGGGGAAGACTTGAAAGCACCACAGAGTGTGGGAAACATACCTGACGACGGATCCCAAGCTCTCGGCTAATTGTTCAGCGCGTCTCGTGGCATGTCGAACAAATCAAGCAGCCTCGATTTCCAACAGCTCTTCCTAGGCCGCCAGTCAGTCAGGCGTGTCCAAAGAGTTTTTGACGAGGGGAGCCAACAGCCCTAAAGAATTCGAAGTATGACTTCGTATTGTCGCCTCTTTTGGCGCACCTCGAGAGGGTTGACCCAGAACAAATCAGAGTAGGCTTAGCTGCAATCGTCCTCCGCGTCCAAGCGGCACCGAGCCAGGGAGGCCGATCTTAACATCTTCTACAGACACACACACACACAAGCACGCACAGTTTCATTCCGAGAGAGAATTGGTAGTGGTCGCAATGACGCACGTAACATGCATCTGCTATAAAAAGGTGTGCAGTGTATGCCATAGCTTCTTTTCTTTGAAAGTCTTGGAATTCTAGTATATTTTCATTATATAGCTGAATTATGAGGCAGTTGTTAGTTGCATATATCTGGGTTAAAGTACTACAAATATTTATTCGCCACGCATGACTTCTGGAAGTGATACTCCTGAATGATGCGCCAAGAAAAAGGAAATCGCTCCAACATTTTTTTTAACTATAAGCTCGCACGTGGAAGTACTTGTTTTCTGTCTGTGCTTTTCCATGGTTCATGAATGTTAAGCCCCGCTGCCGCTTCTATAGAATGGGGTACAATAAGCCGTATCAAGGCAGTGACAGGATTTCCTACAGACTACCAAGCATTCGATCACCAGACATTTTCCCTCCGGCATATTTTGATTAAAAGAAGCGACAAATTTTTGCTGAAAACCCGGTTTATGCACTGGGGCCCGGTGCACAGATGTTGCACAGTACAACTCTTGACCATCGCGAACACGAAGACGGCAAGTAAAAGCCTTTATGCTATTGTCTGTACGGCCGATGTAACGAAACCCTCTAGTCTTGAGGTTGGTGGGTTAAACCATGCACTTTGCTCATTGCTATTTTTCATCATGGCGTTTGTCTATTCACTGAGTGGTGCTATGTGGTGCACGAGGCAGTAGTGCTTATGTGCTTTTTGGTGCTGGTACAAAAAGAAAACTAGCTTGTATCTCTTCTTCAATGAGTCCTTCAATTAAACCTATTCTAGTGGGCTGCATAGAAGACTATACGCCTGACGCAGTTGGAAAAGTAAAGCACGTTGTAAGAGACCACTTCTGCTAATTGAAGGACTTGTAGACCATCACCATCTAGACTGCGGTGTTCTACAGAAAGACGTTAAGCTAATGACGTGCCGCATTAGGTTCTAAATTTAAAATTGATGTGTCCAGACAGCAATATACTAACAGCGCATTTGCTAGCAGCCTGCCCTGTGTACCGACTGTAAGTTTGTTTTTTTTTCAAAAAAGCTTTTTTTTTTTGTTTTTGTTGAGCTAAATAATTTTGAATTGCCGTTCTACTAATCTCAGTCCTCGCATGTGTTTATATTAAGATGGTTGGTTGTGGTGGTTCCTAGCATTAAGTGCAATCCTAGCATTAAGTACAAGCTGAGTGGACGCGAGAAACATCTAAACAGCATATACAGCTCTCTAAGTACTTATTCAAACTATTTCCGCGCAAGTATTAGCTTTAGTCATCGAGGAATTCGAATACTTTTAGAGTGCACCAGGTGGATCTCTTGTGACACTGTGAACGAATACCGACGTGTAAAGCACCTGGTTAATTACATCCGAAGAATAATAAATTGATAGAGCACAACGAGCAAAGAATCCGCTAAAATAAAAAAAAGGTATGTTTCGTGGCGGATGAGTTGCAATTATAAACCAACAGATGATTACTGGTTAATTAAAAATGGTCCCTCAAATACTATTCAGTTAGTTCATAACTGCGACTTATTTGACATGCAACATTTTTTTTCATGGATTCTTTGCTTTTGTCGCACAGGTTGGTATCACTTCCCGGTAAGCGGAGCGCTGCACGTGGTTTAAATACATCTGGGTAGAGTTGGCATCTTTTGTTGACTAAAGCTATAATAATGTGGCACTCGAAACGCCGAAAATCGAAATGACGAACTATTGGAATGCCGAAAGTTGGAACACCGAAAAATCAAACAGCCAATTATACAAGATACCGAAAGTGTAAAATGTCAATGGCACTGTTCTTTCTTTTCTTCTGCTCTTCCTGCTTCACGATATGTTTTTGCACCTCAGTCTTCTGCACCAAGTCAAAAAATCAAAATACCTAACTACAGAAACGCCGAAATATCATAATGTCTTCGTCACCTAGCTTTACTGGAAGATGAAGTACCTACCTAAATTAGAGGTTACGCCAGCACACTCTTTCACTCTCATTTCCAGTTGTCCATTTACATTTATCTCAAGCCTTCATACAAATAGCAAACTATATATTTTCCACCTCCAATTGCACATCAGAGTGATTTCTTACCAAACAGCTTGCGTGCAATTCGTTGTCGAAAAATTGAAACGTCGTCATTGTCCGGGTTGCCTAAAGCAGCATCAAGCGATTTTGCAAACAGAACATTTCGGCAAGCTTTCTGGATGCTTGTATCACAGAAAAATAGCAGCAATATTGTTCAGCTTTTAACACCTGGAACAAACAATTTTACTTAACATGAAAACAAAATTTGCCATTCAAACGAGCAAGGTTATAGTAAATTTCGCAAACAACACCCAGACTACACTCTGCGGAATACGGAAAGATCCCACGTACGGCATAGGTTGGCCTAACAAATGGAACTCACTCAGATTAACTCAATAATCATATATAAAAATATTTTCCTTTGGACTCACTCGGACTAAAAATTAGCGATATTGGACGTGGTCCAGCTCATACAATAAACGTCGAAGGAGTACCATTAAAAAACACATGTGAGATTTCTTTTGGTTTCCTTGGCCCAATTTTGATGCCTAGGTAGTGAAAGCATAAGATTACATTGTACGGTTGAATGCTTGCTTTGGTGCTAAGAGGTGGAATATAGATAGCTGTTGAAGGATGTGTTTATTTCCTAATGTCTTGGCTAACATGGTTCATTTTCATGCCATGAAATCATGTGAATTGTGTTTTCTGCTTGTTCAAATGCTTATAGTACACAAGGAGGGGTCTTGGAATTGTGATAAGTGATGTATATAGCGGTGCACTATTAAAGAGAACATCGGAGTGGGTGGCAGCTGCTCGGTACCACCACCTGCTGGCGGCTGCGAATAGTTTTGCGCAGGCACAGTGAGCACCATGTGCGGTGCTTTTTTTATCAAGTGAGCAGACAGTAGTGGACATGGCAAGTGCACCATTTATGGTGCACTTGTGTCACAAATTATTGCTACAGCTGGCCGGTGGTGGGACCAAGTGGCTTTCGATGTTCTCTAACAGTGGAATCCTGTATACACTATGCTTGCTTCTAGACCCTGTTAAAGCAGTGGTAGAATGCTTTTTTCAAATTCTATGCTGAAATACAGCCAGCTAATGGACCTGTTCTTGATCTAAGAATTTAGAACATTCAACAGCCATTATCAATAATTTGTGGCCCAAATTAATGATGCAAAGAAACCTGAATTTTGTTGTGCTTTTTTGATAGGCTGTTTCAGTAGGCAACTAAGGAAAGAGTCTTTTCTAGCCTACTAATTGTGAAACAGCTTTGTTCAGGATATATAGCAGTGACATACAGAATGCGTCTTAAGCATTTGTAATGGCTTCATTTTACATTCTCAGATTTCATTTCTTACAGGTTGTTAATTTTGAAATGCTCAAGCCTGGAATCTGCAAGTCTGAGACTTCGGAAGCCACTGAATGAGCTGTTCATGTTTTTGATAATAAAAAGTTTGTTTTTTGTTCACACATTCATATCTACATATATCATGGAACTGCTTATCCAGAGTTATTTCATTCTGTGCCATTGTCAACATGTTTGTGTGGCCACGATGACCAGGATCTGCATCATCTGTTGCTTGACTGCCCCAAGTACATCATACATAGACAGAAACTTCGACGGAAACTCCACATTCCAGTGAACATTCTTTTTGGTGAAAATGCCAGGTTCATGACCATCTGAATAAATTACGAAGCAACGAGGTGCTTCAATGTTTTTTTTTTTTAAAGACCAATACACAATTTTTATAGGGCCTAATTTTTTTAGCAGAACGGAAAGCGGTGCGAAGCATTTGATATCAGAATTTTTACATCTGGAGCGAATGTGTTAGCGTATACTTGCATGCTGCTAACAGTGAACGTAAGAGAAGAGCGATTTGGGTTCGAGCACGGTGGTTTATTTCGCATGCGGGAGAGAGTACTATTTGCACCAGGTTAGCCCACAACAGAAGGAAGTGAACAATACTGCTTTATTTCACGTATTGCCTGCAATCGGTAAAATGTGCTCGAGATGAACAATTTAATTTGCACAACAGTTCCGTTACAGCGATGCGTGAACAGTTACGACGGCTAGGCTACTGAATAATGTAGTCATCTGGGTACTCAAATACTTTTGGGAACTTCGCTTGCTCCTCTTCCGAGTACTCGACGAGCTTCTTAGGTGCACGCCGGAGCTGCCTCAGTTGACCCGAGATGTTGTCCATAATTTCGCGAGGCACCTTGTCGTCTGGGAACAGGTGCAACCTGGCCATCCGGGTTCGCCTGTTCAGGTCGCCTGGCAGTGCCCTGTACACAGCCTTCCAAAGAACCTTTGTCGCGTCCTTGTCCTGCACTTGCCATGCCGGTGTCCAGGAGCGCCCGCCAGCAAACCGTGTGTCGTGGAAATACATGCGGTACTTCCACTCGTACCAAGGCATGGCGATTTCGCTGCAGTTCGTCACCACAACGTGGTCCCCGCAGTCGCTTGTGGGAGAAAATATCGGCTTGTGTTTGCCCTGCAACACGTCGGAGATCATCTCGGCGGACTGGAATGGGTTCTGCCATCGCGCGTCGTAAAGGAGCCAGCGGCGTGTAAACGTTGCCCACTGTTGCACCCGTTTAAAATTAGATAACGCACCCATATCGAAGCAGGAAAGGGGAAATATACACTTTGCGATACTGGGAAATCACTGGCACATGACGCTACAGAAGTATAGTGTACTAGAATATGGTAGTACTTGATTATGGTGCCATAACTTGATAGCAAAAACAAAATGAGCCTGACGCAGGGTTGCCAGGTGCTCGGAAAGCAACCTGCCAAGTTCAGGTCCATTAGTAACCCAAAAACAGCCAAAGACAATATATTCAGATAAAAAATTCTTACTTATTATAAACTGACACAAAGCGAGTTCATACACAAAGAAAACATTTATGCAACGTATTAACAGACAGATAAATTACTTAAGACAAGTACGAGAGGGAAAATTTGGTTACATAAAAACTCCCAAGCATTTCCCCGAGGGTGAACATGATTTTTGGACCTCAGGGCTGTTTACTGGCCGTTTAAACTAATCAACTAGAGAACAAAAGAGGGTGAAGCCTCAGTCTGAGCAGCTGTTTATTGATTGAACGATTTTACTTCGTCTCGCCGTAGGCAAGTCGGAGAGAAGATGAGTCTGCTTCTCAACATGTTGATATCGGAATGAGACTAACCCCCCTCTTGTTCATAATTCCGTAAATTGGCCTCTATGACATTTACGAAAATGCTTGCTTTAGTGAAATGGTTTGGCATGTTGAAAGCCACATCTGAAAAGCCTGAACAAACCTCAAAATGCATGTCACCTGCCAGAAATGTTTTAACTACTTGTATTTGCAAGTGACAATTATTTAAAGTGACTCAGTGGAAAAGATAATTTTAGCTGCATGGATCATATTTACTGTACTCTGGACAAGCTGAGTACATGACAGCTGTGTGAATGTGGCTTTTGCACATGCGTAACTTGCTTTTTCTTCCCTTACCTGTAAAATTGCTGGAGCACGAGTTCATTGAAATGTAATTGCGACCATTTTTGTCTCTTTTATGTAGGGATAGGCTCTGGCTCAATGAGTAATAGCATTTACCTTTTGGAAGTCAAGGGTATGAGTGGTATGTCTCCTTCCTAGTATTTCTCATTGGGGGCGTTATGAATTGATTCTGCTTGCTTAAGCTTCGCTTGCAGTGACACGCACATTCCTGCAACGGCTTTGTTCAGTAGGTGTCATCAGTGCTGAATTAACCTGTTATCATTGGCTATGGTTGTCTTGCTCTCGCGTGCCAATTTTGTAAGATCTCTTGACATGAATGGCATGTTGAAATAAAACTGGCTTACTACTATCGATTCTTATATTTCCAGCAGGGTAAAAAAAAAAAAAAAAGAAGGACAAGTGCGAGCAAACTGGCCTTGTTAAATTTGTTAAATAACAGCATGTTTAAAGACCTCCACAGTAAAAACGTGGAATGTCACTACGCATATCCCATCACCGTATAAGCCTTGTGAAACTTTGTTGGCGTCCCCGTTGGTGCTCGTGTGTAGCATTGAAGCACAGCAAGAGCAATGCGATGCAGCAAACTAGTGTGGCCTCATCCAGTTGACAATGGCCATATTTGTTATGAGAGAACGCATGCCACTCAACTACACCAGCTATGTGACAGTAAATTTTCACTATATCTTTGTCGGTACATTTGTTTATGCGGGTAGGTTACCATCGCTTGCATGGTGCCACGTCGTATTGTGTCCAGGTGCCCCCTCCACCCTAATGACATAAAGAGGGACACCATTCGCAGCTGAGCTTACCAACAGAAAATTTTTGATTTAGTAACACCAGGTATCAAAAAATGACTGCTTACTATTTCCAGACCATCATACTTGTGGAGCATTACAAAAGATTGCATGTGTTTAGTTTTATACAATTGTCGCAGTAAATGTAAGTGGGACAAAGAGCACTTAGCAGTGAATGATTGTTGTTTACTGAGAAAATGTTACAGTCAGGACTGTTACTATTATTGTTGTACTTGTTGTTCCACTTCCTCCCGTGGATAACATGTGTTAATGATGCCTCCTCCCCTCAGATATCGATGAGTTCTTCATAAAGCACATAGCAGCATCTAGATACATGCAGAATCACAGGTTGATCAACGAAATCTTCAGTGATGCTGTGGTGCCTGACGTAAAATCGGTTGCCACAACAGCGCGAATGAGTGTTCTTAAACGTCAAGTGCAGTCCCTCACTATGCACCAGGTATGTATGTCCCTTTGTGCTGTCTTGATTCTTAGTAGTATATTAGCTGAGCTTTACACTGCATAAATCTTGCATGTGCTCGAATTAAATGGGAATGCTCCGTCAGCTGTGGTGGTACACCGTTAACAACGCAGCACCTGAGAGGATTTGCACCTGAAGTAGAGGAAAGTAGTTTCCCGTGACAATTTCAAGGAATACAAGCCACTTTTATGAGATTTTCTATGACTGGCGTATGACAGCCACCTTCATTTCTAGCGCCTCGCAAACAATGTATTGCATGCTTGGCTCTGTTACAAAGGCTTAGGTAAATCATAACTGCTGTGTATATTTGATTTGTTTACTGACAAAAAAAAATTTTTTTTTCAAGGAACTTAGCTGGAAATACCAGTTTCATTAGGTCTTGAGTATTGTTGCATTGAGGGCTGCCTGTATTTCTTAGCAGAGTATGATGAGATTCATATTTTTTCCCCACTAGGTACATTTAAGGTTTGATTACTGCAGAACTTTCTTTCACGAAAAATTGGAAGCAGAACTGCAGCAGATTGAGGAGAAATTCAAAGCCGAAAAGTGAAAGTTCCTTGATGCCAGCAAGCTATTTCAGGCAGACTTGAAGAAGGTACGAAATTTTTTTACTGTTTTCCCCTGCAGTTTCTTTCATCGTCGTTCTTTTACCCAACGCACATTTTCTGCCAACAGCATTGGCTGCTAGAAGTGGAGGCGGTGACGGTGCACATTTTACTAGTAAAGGTCAACTTTCTTTCTAAGCAATGCCCTAAATGTAATCAATTGTAAAAAACAATGCCTGCCCTTGCAATGTGCAATATCTTTTTCAATCTTCACTAAATTTGCAATGCGAGCTATGGAGGCATGTTGGAATAGTGACTTTGCAGAGTAGTGGTTTGGGCTTATTGCGTTGCCTTAATACATATGAAGCAGCTAGTGTTGCACACAAAAGAGGTTTATGTAAGCCATCGATTGCCTTTTCGCAAGAAGAGTTCGCACTCCTGAACTTCAGCATGAAGGGGAGAGGGAAGTGGTGATCTTTTCTGTATCATTTTGTATTGCTTTCTTTATTTATGTGTAAACCTCTGTGTCTAATGAAAGCTAAGTTGGCAGTTAACGTTTTTCCACATCTCTTCGCCCCCCTGCCTGTCCTGGGCTGCATTACTTACTTTTACGAAGTAATGAGTTAGGCGAGCTAGTGACATACGTGTAGGTGTAAGAGCTTTTCACAGTGACTGTACTTCAGCGGCACAAAAGCTAGAAAATTGACCGAATGAGAAACATATGAGCCATGTTTTTTTTTTTTTACTAAGTACACGAGAAAATAAATATGATGCACACGCCTTCACGCATAAAAAAAAGTGGAAGAGAGACTTTCCTGCCTCTGTACATGCAGCGTTGTTGAAAGGCTGTCGATGTGGAGACGTACCTGAAGATGGTGGAGCGTGCTCTGGAGCAGCTGAAGAAGGACAATGCAGCCAAGGAGGAGCAGCGTGGCAATGGCGACAGCAAACCTAAGGAAAGAGAAGAGGAAACCAATGGTGGCGTAACAGGCTCGCCTGAAGACAATGGAGGTGTCTCCAAGGAGCGTAACAGCCTGCCCGAACCCATGGACAGGTCGTCGTTTCCCCCCTGTGCCCCCACGGGAGGGCAGCACCAAACAGAAGCTTCGGCTGTGTCCAAGGAAGAAGAGGACAACGATGATGAAGAAAGAGGCAGTGGTCCTCCTCCGGCCACCAGCCAAGAATCTCTCACAGAGGACACTCAGCAACAAGCGAGTAGAGGGTCAACCACAGCACCCACTCAGCAGCAGCAACAGCAGCCTCCTTCAACATCATGGAAAGTGAGGACACTGCAGAAAGCCGAGACTCTCAGGTGAGTAAACTCCTAAAGCCAGCTGTGGCCAGGCTTTGTCTAATGACCGGTACACATCTTTCTGTTCACTGTGAGGTGTGTGACTGTGTGCCTTCGTTTTCAAAATTCGAAGTGCTATAAAGGAGCAAGAAAATGTCTGCATGGTTGTCACGCGAAAAAAAAAAAGGTGCAGATGGTGTCACCCAAACGTCGGTGTGTTTGTGGGAGCGAATTTGACGTGCTTTGCCGTAATCTGTAGCAGATTTTTTGATCAGATTCACCTTTTGATGTGTGCACAAATACACATGTGTCATATTGAGTGCGTGCATAAGTTCCTCAGTTTTTTGTAATAAACCGGGTGGTAGTGAGTGGTATCATAGTGAGCTCCAATTTTGTATTGAGACCATGAACTAACTCACCCAGCAAGGTATTCTATTAACTTTATGTTCTTTCACATTGTGAGAGTAATGGTTTGAAGTCAGGAAAGACACTTATTTCTGCAACCCATGAAAGAATGTGGTGCAGTGTCAAAAGGGAGGGGAGTGAAATATATAAGAGGGTGGTAAGGTGACTGAACCTAGTATTTGGACTGTGCTCACTGAATACCTGCTGTGAGGCCTTCACTACATTTCGTCTTGTCTGTACCTTTCATGGTACCTTAGTGGGCAAATGCGTTGTGTTCCAAAGCTCGAAGAAGCATGTTCGATTCTGAATCGCCACAGCTGCGTTTCAGTGTTGGTGCAATGCAAGAACACTCATGTAATTATATGTACATGACTGCTAAGAAACTTTGTACAGTCAAAATTAATGCGTAGTCCCCCACTATGACACGCTCGTAATCATATTCTTTTGTCAAGTATAATCTCAGAATTTTTTTTTTCATATCAGCTTGTCTCTGTGAAATGATATATCTGTGTGGTGGCTTTTAGAGCTTGAATCTCAGCTGAAAGGGACTGCAAACTTAACTTATGTAATACGGGCCAGGTGACTACAATGCTCGTTTTCATGAACTAAAAAAACTCATTTTTTTCTGTGCGGCTACTGAACGCCATTCACCACTGTTATATTTGTGCTAGAACAAAAATGTGTCATACGACCAATCTAGCTGTTTACTGGTCACGAAATTGCACATTTTGGCCCTTGTAATGCATTGCAGTGTTTCATTTTAGCCAAGAAACTTAGAGTAAAGCTGAATCAATAACTACTGATTGTCCAATAAGATCGTGCCAAATTTGCTTTTTGCATGATGCCGGACTTACGGTGTGTTTGTTGCCTTTTGCAGGAAAGAAGTGATGGGACTTTTTCGGACCAAGAAAGCAAGGACACATCAAGTCATGCTCCTGAAGTTTGCACCAGGCCAAGCGAAATTCCCAGGACAGCCATCGAATCACTCAGTCAGGCGACACAAGAAATGAGTGGACCTCAGTAGACGTGATGTTTATTATGCCACCAGCAACTTTTTTTATTCAAGTGTTTATAAGCTATTTTTGCCACACTGCACTTTGGTGCTAGATGTTTTATATATTTTTGAAAGCCTTTTTGTACAACACATGAGCAGCTTCTAGATTCATTTGGGCGAGGCGTCACGATTAATGTACAGTATGACATGATGCAGCCACTGTGCAGGCATTTTTATATATCGTGTTAACAGCAAAAACATGCTTTTTATCACTTTTAATTTTTGCCCTCCCCGCCTTATGTAGTGAGCTGTTCCTAAAGTAGGTAGCAAGAATGTGCATTTTCTTAAGACTGTTCCAGGAATGTGTACCAGATAAACGAGCACAGCATGTTGTAAATATCATTGTAGTCGCTCGTGACAGTTGCATATTCAATTAAAAACTTCCTGTGGTAACCCATTGCTGCATTCTGCATCTGATTTCTGTTCTGTGTTTAACCACAAGCATCGTACATAAATGCACGCTTAGTGTTCTTCCAATAAGGGCCTTTAAAAAAGTTTGGGCAATCTGACCAAATAAGCACAGTGTATGGGTACCCATACTGAGCAAGAGCAACTAATGCAGCTGAGGGGTTGGATTTTTTTTTATATGAAAAGCAAACATATACAATGAAGGGGGAAATAGCATTGGAAAATTAATGTTTTCATTAAAATGTGGATGAAACGTCTTTCTACAGGCAGGATCTAAACCTTCATCTTCATGTAGTCCTTTCCCTTTAGAACTGCTTCGACAGCTGTTGGTCAGCCATCAGTTTTTTTCAATGTGTATGTCTTCTTCTTTAACCCTGGGAAAATCAGCAATTGCCACCCATGGACTCTGTAAAAGGTACCACGATTCGGGGTGTCTGTAGAACCCTAGAACCCTTGAAAGCCCTGGAACCCTTGAAGTTGAGTATGTTGTCCAGGCACTGGAAACCACCTGAATGACTTTTTCTTGAAAACTTTTGACTTTCATAAGTAGCGTGTAATTCGAGTTATGAAAAAAATAGGTTTTAAAATTACCTTACCTATACTTTCTAGAGCGGATCAACATGGAACTGGTGAAATTTCAATTTTGGATATGATGCATAGTACAACTTTGGATGTATAGCATCTGGAAAAGATACACGTGCAAGTTCATTATGATGGTAATTCAGTATAAAAAAATCTTTGGCACAAGTACTACTTGGCTTCACTGTAATACAAGCTCATGTTGCAGTGGAGTATTCTTAGGCGAATTCGTCATTATCAAGTGCAAACTAGGTCTTGCTTCATATCTTCGTGGCATATATAATCTTTAGATTAAGTATGCGCAGAATAAATGACTTTTAATTTGCTCATGTGATAACAATAATAAGCACAGTAGGCACAGCACATAATGCCACATGCACATTATGTAATATTTATTAATGGGGTTGTGCGCTGGAGCCAACAGGCGCCCCGCCACGGTGGTCTAGTGGTTAAAGTACTCGGCTGCTGACCCGCAGGTCGCGGGATCAAATCCCGGCTGTGGTGGCTGCATTTCCTATGGAGGCGGAAATGTTGTAGGCCCGTGTACTCGGATTTGGGTGCACGTTAAAGAACCCCAGGTAGTCAAAATTTCCGGAGTCCTCCTCTACGGCGTCTCTCATAATGAAATGGTGGTTTTTGGCACGTTAAACCCCACAAATCAATCAAATCATTAGCCAACAGGCAGACTTGCCTGTTGGCTCCAGTACGGACCCTGTCACTAATTCTTAATCACAAGATTCCATCTTCTCCAGACTCCTGGCTTTTTTTTTTTTTACATTTTTCACACAAAAGTACTTTATGCAGGGGTTCGCCATGGCTCTGCTGACGGATTTCCGTCACAGATATGACGTAAAATAGATACTAACATATTGCAAAAAAAGAAACGAGAAGGAAAAGTTCCACAGCAGGACGTCGAACCAGCGAACTCGCGCTCCTCAGAGCGCGACGCTAACCACTAAGCCACGGTTTGACCTTTCTCCAAGTTGTCAACGGTGAGCCATTTATATACACCATGTACCACTGGCAATCCTCAAAGTTGAGCAACTACAGCACATTTTCGTCATCGGTAGCAAAATGGCACGACAGGCGGGCGTGCTCTGAAGGTCCTCGTGGGTGCCATCCCACGCGTCGCTATGCATGCGTGCCGCCACGTCGCGTGGTCAAAGTATGTATTGATGTTCTGTAGCCTGGTGGCCCACTCGCTTATCTTGGGATTCGGGTGCTTTGTACCTCTTGTGCTTCCACCGCAAATTAGCTTTGAAGTTACAATAGTTAAGGTGAGCACGAATGTCACTTCGCTCACCGCATTTACGAAATTAGCGTGCTTCTCACACACTAAGTAAGAATTGTGACAGCTGTTCACGCTCATCGTGTGTATACCTGTGCGTTCATTTCGTTCTTCTTTCTGTTTGAGCAGCATGCTTAAAGTGTCGAACTGTGACAGTTAGTCCGCACTTGTCCTGTGCATGCTCATTTCGTGCATGCTTTGTGCTTGAGGTGTGTGCTACAAGTTTCGACCCACTAGCTGTTTTTTGCGTGACATAGCAATTTGTTGCTGTAGCATTAATTCCTTCACCCTTGTGGTGAAACAATGCACAATGAACGCTCAAATATCTCTGGGAGGACACGTCTCAATTTCGTGTTATACTGATTCCTAAATAGAGGGATCAGCCACTTTTTTTTTCTTTGCTTTTGCTCATTCAGCCTATCATTTAAAAACTCTCTGCAGAGTCTGTCCTTAGTGAGACTTGATGCTGAACTTGAAAACTTTGCAACAATTTCAGAAGAGTTTGCTGGTGTGCCATGGTGTTAAAGCTTCATAGCTGTTGTGATAGGCATTGTAGTGAAGCATGCCTGAGTGCCTTTAGTGTGCAGGTTTGCATAGATAAATTTTAAAACGAGTCACAGTAATTTTAATTCTTTATGTTGCTTTTTAATATCGCAATCGCTGCTTATGTTTTGTGAAGAATATAGATGCAAGTTTATGTAGCAGGGTCAAATTTTAAGTAAATGGTGGCACATCAAATATATGCTGCATGATCGAGGCTGAGATGCATGCAAAAGCTGTATTGTCTAAACGAATACTTTAAAATGCGCTTGTAAACGATTCAAGCTGCCCTCACCACGCTCCGATTGTGTTATGCTCTATGTACTCTTGCAATAAAGGTGCAACAGAATGAAACAGGAATAGAACAGCTTTACGGCTTTATTTGTGCACACTGCTATCAATTTACTACAGCTGATCACCTAGGCTCTGCGAAAGTTACTTTGATGGCTTCTTGGTGTCGGCGGGTGGTGTCTTAGGCTCCTCCATCATCCCGGACACAGCATTCATGCACCACGAAGCAGCTTGCTTTGAATATTCTGGCGTGTTTAGGAGGTGCTTGAATGTGGCCTTGATACCTGCAGGACAGGGAAGGAAGGAAGGGCATCGTTTGGCTCCTCTCAAACTTTTTAACTCCATCTGAAAGTTACAAAATTGGCAGAGAGGGAGAGAGAAAAGCAAAGGAAAGGCAGGGAGATTAATCAGGTTGCACCCAGTTTGCTACCTTACCAAGGGGAAGGGGGGGAAAGAGAGAAAATAATGTGCTTGAATGCTTAGCAGTATGTGCCAATCAGGCCCAGGAGGTCATGAAACTAAACTGTTGCAGGGTTCGAACAGGACGACTTCGACTGTCTTACACGAAGTAGACTACAATCCATGATGTCAAAGAAGGCTTGCAAGGACTGGCTCCATGGTACCCAGAACTTGCTGTGCACTTCGAGCTGATTGGCTTGTCCATCCACCAGCTTGGTGATGAGTGAGTGCTTTGTGCTTGCCAGTGGCCTCAACATTGCAATTACAGAGATATGGGAAGTTCAGGGGAGAATAACTGTAAGCACATGAAGGAGCCAACTCTTTGAGGTTGGGGGTAGACATATCACGTTTGCATGATTATGGTGTGCCTCTAAGTCTAATGTGCAGGTTATCTTAAATTAGAAAAATCTTAGAAAGGCAAAACTTGATGCCTATTTCACTTCTGGGTCCAGTGGTAATGTGCACAGACATTCTAGGGCTACATTTATAAAGAAATAAAAATGAAAAGTTATAATCTTGCAAATATACTACTGTTTGTCTAGGGTTTTTATCGTGGACATGGCAGTTCTTGGGACTTGTCACGTGCCTTAGCAAGCTCCAGCTGAGTCTAATTAGATTCGTATACGTCCACACTGTTTTATTATCCTCAGAGATTACTTTTGCAATTTGTTTAGTAGTCATTTCTATTTGCCCTTCCGGATAAAAATTCCCCTTTAGTTGCTCATCTTGTCTCCTTTGCATTTTCATTGCTCCTCCAAAACTGAGCTTGATACGTTTATGATCACTACCCAGACTTCTGGAGCCACATTCATCTATGTGAATTCCCCTGAGCCTATCACACATCTTATGTGACATCAGTGCAAAATTTATCGTCGACTGCAGCGTTCCTACCTCCCATGTTATTTGTTCTTCACACTTCTCAGTAGTGTTGCAAATGATCAAACCATGCCTTTCACACATATCCATGATCATTTTGCCTGTTGGGTCAGTTTACCCATCTATGTCTCTTATGTGCGCATTCATATCTCCTAGTATAATTATCTCGCATTCTCCTCCTATTTCCTCAATGTCATTTGTTATACACTCTACCATTGCTTGGTTTCCCTCTCTGGCCTTGGCTCCTGTCCACAAGTACACCAAGCCCTGTCGCGGTGGTTTAGTGACTAACGTACCTGGCTGCTGACCCACAGGTCGAGGGATCGAATCCCGGCTGCGGCAGCTGCATTTCCGATGGAGGCGGAAATGTTGTAGGCCCGCGTGTTCAGATTTGGGTGCACGTTAAAGAACCCCAGGTGATAGAAATTTCTGGCGACCTCCACTATGGTGTCTCTCATAATCATATGGTGGTTTTGGAACGTTCAACTCCACATATCTATTACTCAACAAGTACACCAAACCAAGGAGTATCATATCTGCCCAGCTACTTTCCCTCTTAACCATAAATGTTTCGTGCATCCATGCTTGACTCTTTGCCAACACATACTTTTATGTATAAATGCCCTAATTCCACCTCTCTTTTGCTGCCTTCTGTTCTATTGCAATATTCCCATACGAGGTCCAGATTGCAAGGTGGTTGCTCCATGTCCCGAAGATGTGTCTCCACAATCCCATATACCATCACCTCCTGCTGCCTTAACTGCTCCTCTATCTCTTCCCACTTTAACCTATTCCTGCCACCCTGCATGTTAATATAACCTACGTCTGACTTAGCTCGGCCCTTGTGCTTACGTCGATTTCCTCTCCCACGGACTCCACGTGGCTTGAATATTTGTGCCCCTTTAGAATCGTCTTTGGCTACACTGTTGGGCCTCAGGATCTCCCTAAAAAAGCTG